ATGTAGTGGCTGACATCACTTGTCTGCATGTAGTTACTTCTATGTCATTTCCACAGTGAGCTCACTTGTTTATATCTCTTTGAACATGACCAGCATACTGGTTTGCCAAGCTAACAAGAGAGCAGCGTGGGACATAGTGAGGGAGTTTACAGTAAAACGATATCCAATTTTTGATACTGTCTTTGAACAGAAAAAATTATCTGATCTAGAAGCCAAATTCCCAAAATAAGAATTAGAATGTTTTCCTGATTTACTTTCTGTGAAATGTTGCTGATTTGTAATAATACGGCATGATCCCAAAACAAAGACAAGGCACAAAATCAGCAATGATGAAGTATTTGATGACTGCTGAATTTGAAAATTACCTGGCTTTCCCATTAGCTGGTTACCTGTATTGGGGTCAGATCCTCAGCTGCAATAAGCTGATGTCACCCTTTTGAACAAATTTACTCTGGCTGAAGATGGGTAATCTTCATTTGGTTAATGAGCAGCTGGAGTAGCAGAATTTCTGAATTTCTTCAATTATGGAAAATGAGTGCCTGTTGGGAAGCAGATAGCTCAGCAGTGCAGTGGTACTGGTATATCGCACAGAGAAAAAATATTCAAAGGGAAATACTGAGGGAAAGGTCACTTATTTGCTAAAATTCTATTATTCAGGTTCTTATTGATATTCTGCTAACCTCTAACCCCTAAAATAAATATTGAGTGCAAGAACTAGGTGATGTAATTACACGCAGATCATCAGATTTGACTTATAAATGTGAGAGAGGTATGAAGTAGATAACTATCAGATTTACTTTTACTGAAGAAAGGCAGTATTAAGTTCCCTATCTTTCACTTAGCGCTCTTCCTTGAGTGATGGCCTAAGTTACTAATACGGTATTTTAAATCTTAAAAAGAAATGTGATGCTTTGTGCACTGCTGCATAAAGGAAGGATGGAACTGGAATGGATGACCCAGAAAGGTCCTTTCATTCTTGAACTCCTGAAAAATGAAAAGCTGCCTTGAATGGAAAAGTAAAAGTATTTTGCTATGAAGATACAGGAAAAATAGGATTTGAGATTTTTAAATAATCCTTTTCTGAATGAAAAGTGTAATGAATGCAACCTACACCTGTAAAATATGCATTTCTTCATAACAATTTTTTTGTGAAGAAAAATTACTCTTGAACTTTACACATGACAACAACCTACTAGAAAGTTAACTATATCTAAAATCTGGTGTTAGAGTGAAAGTTAAATTGGAGGAAAAACTGGCTTGACCATTAGACATAGAACACATGCCAAGTAAGAGGTGTTTTTACAAAGAAATCAATCTTGTTTTAAATAGCTAAGAATGGTCTTTCACTCTGTTTTCCCTTTTTGTATTTGAAAAGTGCTGAAATAGAGGAAAAATAAGGTTATAACACTTTCAGAAATAATTCAAATGAATAAAAGAAGAGTAAGACTAATAATTACAGAGAAATGTTCCCGGGTTTTTTATGCAGTTAGCACAAAGGGTAATAAGAGCAGATGCTGTTCCAGTCTGTACAATTCTCTAGCTAGTATTGATGTACAATGAAAAGAACAAAAGATAATTAATGCTCTACAAAGAGGACACTCTTAGTAGTAAGCTGATGTGTCGGCATCCATCTTCACATTGATCAAGATTAGAAACTATCTTCACCAGTTGTTTTATGAGGCCTTTAAAAAAGGACACAGAATTATCAAGATCATAAAAAAATGTATTCCATTCTTTTGTGGCTATAGACTCATTTATTCTGCCTGGGAAATGACACTGCGATTCCTCTATGTCATTGCCTATTGAAGAGGAAAGCATTCGTGTTATTTTTCAGCTTGAGATCTATGTAGTTTGTCTCAAGTGGAAAGGTCCTTCTCTAATCCAGCTGGTCCATAAAACAAATGTCTTTCTGCCCTCCTGGCTGGATGTGTGCTCCAGGCTTTCCTGCACATGCAGCCTGTACAGTGTGGTGCCATGCAGAGCTGCCAGACTATGACTAACCAACCAAGTACATGCTCTGCCTGGGCCTTAGCTGGCAGCACCTAGACCTGCTCTAGCCTAAAGCAGCTTGGATGAACTCAGGCACAGCAGGGCTCTTGCTAATGATCTCTGCCTCTCTCATATGTGTTGTACAGGGCACAGTCCCCCACCAGCTGCAGCTACATGGTTCAAACACCAGCTTTGGAGGTAGGGGAAGTGGTGTGTGGTGGTTCACATCTCACGACTTGGATACTCTGGTTTCTCTGCTGCAGCAGGCACAGATCCTGGCAAGCACTTTGTAACTTTTAAAATCAACGCATATGAATGGTTCTGTAGTTAGACCTGAAACCTGAGCTTAGACTAATTTACTGACAGCTAAGATAACACATCCTCAAAAGTACAGGAGATGGAGACCATAGGTTGTTTTGAGCTAGCACTGTTCTCTGAGCATGCTAAGCTTAAGTCTTGCAGCTTCCCTTCACTTAATTGGATGATCAGTTCTCCAGAGCATGGTTTGGCCCTGGTTTCAAACTTTCCCAGAGCCCATCATGGTGAGATCTCTTGTAAGGGATGCAGGCCTTGCAGGAACATGGCTCATGCTGTATTTAGAAAGCGATATCACTCTCCATCACATTGGAAAAGACCATCCCTGCCCTTGACTGCAGCTTTGAAAACCTGCACACCTGTCCTGCACTAGGACATGACACATTTTAGTCTGCAGTCTTGTGTGCTGTATAGTCATTTCCAGCTAACAGCACTTGCACCCATATCTGAGGAATTCTATGCTCCAGATCTCATGGGTGTGAGATTACAAGGTGCAATTTCAGATATTTTTAGAGGTTTCGAAAACAGAACCTGCCTCTATCTCCCACATTCAAATCCACAGCAGTTGCACACATCAGAAGAAAAGACACACATAGACTATGGGAGATGTGCTGTTCTACTGGATGTTGCATGGAATGACGTAAGTACAGTGAATGGAGATAAAATGTTTTCTTAGCTTCTTCCATTATTCCCTGTAGGTAGGAAGAGACGAGACCCAGCTGGCTTCAGGGACTCCAACAGCAATGTCCCTTTCCCGACCCAGTATTGTTCAACATTGTTTGGGTGCTGTTGGGAACAGGGAAATGGTACATTCTTGGCTTTAAGGACCCCAGCCTTTGATTTGTGTGGAGTTGGTATTGCTTAGCAGCTGCATCAGAGACACAAGTTAGTGTTTAAGTGGAAATTAATCTATAGCAGTTTCTGCAAATAAGGACTTTTCCAATGACCACTAAAAACCTCTGTAACTGTGGAAAAGAAAGTATTCCAAACCCAAAGAAAAAGCTAGGAAAAATCTGAACTTTGCCTACCATTTAGCACAGATATAATTTTACAGCTTTTAGTCGTTGAAATCTGTATTGAGCTCTGTTCATGTTATTACTAGAAATAAGTTGGCTTACTGCTAAGCACTAATAGCATGTGTATTATATAATTGTGTGGGGTAGCAAATTATAGAAGAGCAAAACTTTTCTATGTTAATTTGTTGCTTTGGAGTCAGCAATTTTATTTTCTTACATCAGTATTTCTCCCAACTAAGTCCTATAAGCTGAACCACCTATGTTAACATGCTGACTGATCACTACTAGCAGAATTTCTTATTTTTTCTGTACGTTTTTTTGCATGGTTATTGCCACAATTCAATAATATCACTAATAAGTACAATAGCTTAATATAACTAATAAGTACAATAGATAGATAGATAGATAGATATCACCAATCACATTTGGAAGAAGTGGGGCTACAGGCTAATGATGGTGCCAAGATCCAAGCAAGGCTCAGTAAGTCAATTAGTGCTTAACTGTACAAGTTCTAACTAATGAAACAGGAATTGGATTGCCCAACAAATACCATAGAAATCTTCAGGTGGGAAGAGACAGACAAGCTTCTGCAGAGCAGAACCGCTAGGTTCTTCTGTAACTACCAATGAAGCAAGGCAATGTCAGGCTATAGACACATTCTGGTTCAACTGGGGGAATTTGAAGATAGGGTGACCCAGGTGATGAGTGTCCAGCCAGGGAAAATGGTGCTATGGCTGTTTCTCTACCTCAACCCAAAGAAATTCTGCTGCTCCTCAAGATTTTGCTATATGTCACCACCACTTCATACTGGTATTAGCCTGTGCAGGTGCCTAAAGTCTCCAAGGAGGGTGGTTTTCTGCATTCTGTTGTCTGACTGCAGCAATGAGGTCTCTTGCTAGAGCCAAAACAGATCCCCATACTTGACCCACAGTTCAACTTATTTCTCAGTCTCTGTGCTTAAATGAATAATACAGAATATTAAATCAGTGTCAAAAGCAAAGGATAAACTTGTTAAGACCAGATCCTTACCTCTTCCCACCTCAATCTCAAGCTCAACATGCTGCTTCCGGAAATGTTCCATTGTCTTTCTTTGTAAATGCAAAGTACTTCTTAGTCTTTTGCTCTAGTAAATTGTTAACTTTGTTCTCAGATACTTTCTACAAAGTGTATTAAGAAATCAATATACATAATAAAATAGAGCCTAAAAGGCCTCCAGACTACCATCTAACACTGTGACACCTGAATTGCTTCAGTGAACGTAAATAACGGCATACAGAAGCAAATTTATTTTAGGCAGAAAATACAGAACCTGCCACCTTTGCTGCTGGCACCTCAAGAAAACTCTCTCATGTCTCCAAGTGACATGCACCAGTATGTTCAAATGTAAAGATAACCCTTCAAGTTTTCCCTCTGGTTTGATCTTGGGGACAGTTATTGCCCCAAGCAGAGCCAGCAGCTTTCCTTTAACCCTTTTATTAGACAAGCAGAGGTGGACAATTTTTAATAACATATCAACATGTGAGAGCAAATTTGCTGATTTGCTTCATTATTGCCTAAGGAAGTTGCAGACAAATTGAATAATCTTTTCATTAGAGGTGCGAAGAAGGAATCCCAGAGTGGAGAAGACAGACAAATTAATCTGCATGCATTTTGTTGTGTTTTGTCTTGTTTTTTTTCCAGGTACCTCCATCATCTACCCTTCTTGAAGTGAAGCACAAATTCCACAAAGTGTGTAAGTACTACAGCAGCAGGCTGGAGACATGGCTAGAAGTCTTTCAGCTTGGAGAAATTGTCAAATTTATTTTTCATTAAGTCTTGCAAGAAAGATGAGCCTGGCCTGACAGTTCTAGTGCTGTGTAAGAGCACTGTTTGGACTAAGGTTCTACTGTAGCTATCACAGATGTGAGAGGCTGGAAGGAGAGGAATGCATGATTTATCACTGCCAGCCCATTAGGGGCTATACATTTCTATCTTCTTTTTAACATTACACAGTGTCAGTTCAAGACCACAACTACATTTGCCCTCCCAGTGTTATATTTGATAAGCTTTGATAACATGAGGCTGCTTCAAGCTCGCCACAGACAAACCCTGTAAACTAAAAAACTACTGTAGTGGGAAACTCAAGCACAGAGTGATTAAATGATTTCTCTGGGATTGTGCAGGTGCTCTGAACTTCTCAACTGGCTCAGCCATGTCCAGTTCCATAATGGTCATGGCAATCTCCCTTTCTTCTAGTACCACTTTTCTTGGGTTTTGCATCCATGAGGTGGCGAGAAAATAGGGAGAGAGAATTTTTGCGCATACAGACTGCAGGCATGGACCTTGTACATGAGAAGAGATTAGAGCAATCACACTTTAAAAAATCCCTCTTTTCTTCCTGCCAGAGAACAGAGCAGTTTTGCTGGAGGCTTCCCTTTTGCCTCTTCCTAGTTACATGCCTCCAGCTCTTACTGGAGGGAGGTTGTTGGAAAGATGGGAGAAAGAACAATAAAAGTAGTCAAGTGCCAAAGTTTGGTGCCATTTGCCTTTGTCCACTGAATTGCTGGTCAGGTTTTTGAGGAGTGGGGCCAAATGTACCTGAACTCTGCAAGACATATACATGTATGCAGCTTAGATCTGAAAAGCTAAAATACTGCTGTATCTGCATGTGCAGAGATCCTAAGTGTTGCACACTTGCTCCTAGACAGTGAAGTGTTCCTCCCGCTTCTGCTTGTAGGAAGTAAGGTGTTACTTGTGATGAGGATTGAAAAACTTGAGTGTCACCCACATTTGAGATGTACAGCTCTATGCAAGGCCTGTTGCCCTGAAGTGGGCTTCTTGAAATTGCAGAGGTATGTAGCTGAGTAGTAAAAGCACAACAAGAATTGAGGGTTGGAAGTGAAGGCCAGAGAAACTTGAGTTAGGAATGAGGTAATGAGGTATTTGTTTCCAAGAGAGGACAGTTTACTGTTGGAGTAAGCATCTGAGATGATCGACTTTCATTACTTTTACAAAAAGGGTGTATTCAACTAAAGGCTAGATGCCTTTTATTAAAAAAAAAAAAAAAAAAGGAAGGTGCTTAGTCAGACACTAATACTCTGGAGTTCAGAGTAGGGAAGTAGAAAAAATATTACGCTTCTCCTCTGTCCTTAGAATTTAATAAAACACTAAAGCTGAAGGCTTTTGTGATTGCACAAAGGTTCAGTTGATGAAGCAAAAGGCTGTTGACCTGACTGCTCTAAAACTACTTGTTTTCACTCCCTGCAAGAACTTGTTAAATGCAAAATGGTAAAAGTTAAAAAAAAATCACCCACAGCTAAATATGAAAAGACTGAGTGCATAAGTTTTAATATTTCAGTAAGAGTGTGTCCTTCCATCAGTTTATGAAATGCAGAGCATTTCTGACTAGACTCTCTAAAATCAATTGAAACTGGATTTATATTGATGCAGCTGAAATCAGCTGAAGATCACTGGCACAGAGGTTTATCCCAATTTAACTGTAATGAGGTTTTTAATGGATTTGGGCTAAAACGGTGCAAGTCTGTTGTATAAGACATTTTAATGGCTCCTGTATTCATATTTAGAGATATCTTACTCCCAGTGCGGTGTGTGAAGCTGAGTATAAAGGAACGAATACAACAAAGCGTGGTACAAATTGTGAACTGAAACTCTGACAGTGCAATGTTTTACAGCACATGGAAGGACTGGCATGTGCCTCCAATACATTTTCAGTTCTCAATTTTTTTTTATGTCAATTCCTCACATTCCCAGAGCACACTGTATCAGTGTCCTGTGTCCTTTCTTCCCATTCCAGCTCATTGCTTTGATCTCTCTTTTCCAGTGCAGCCTGGAAGTTGTCTCATGAGGTTCCCCCTCCTCCTTCTTTCCCACTTGCAAAGAGCAAGACTTCACTATTTTCATATAGTTTGGAGGATGACAGCTAATAGAATACAGTTCTTTTAGGCAAGAGCTGATAAGGGGCTGAAGTTGATCTGTGGATGCCTTTGGTTAACATGTTATTTTGTACTAGCTTCATGCATTCATTTCTGTCATTTCGTGTGTGCCAGACTCACATGTTCCTCTATAATCTCTTGCTAAAACACACTCCTACTCACACCCTTTTGCAGTCTCCTTGTCTTCATACATTCTTCTTTGATCATGCATGCAATTAAGCTTTCTGCTCAGCTGGTATCTTGTCAGCCCTTCAGTGAGAGGAACCCCTGTGCAGCCATTTTGCAAGCATCATTTCTGTCACTGATCAGTTTTCACTGCCTGACTCAAGAAAGGAGAAGAAACCCTGAATTATGAATTACTGCACAGGAGGATGCTAATCATTATAATAAAAATATATTAAAAAAATGCAAGTGGCAACACAATATGTTTCTGCCAAGTAGTGTTTAAGTCAGTCAAACATTAGTTTAGATCTGTGTTTATATGAAAAGCAGAATATGAACTCAGAAGTCCAGGAACAAATACAGAAATATTCCTCAGCATTTTCTTGACCAAAACTGTCTCTACTGAAAACAACCCCAGCAAAATCTAACCCTGTGTTTTCTGTGGCACTGAGTTCTGAGGGGAAATTCCAGTTTTACCCCTGGAGACCTGGGGAATCCATGAGCTTTGTGAAGAATAACCATCTAAGATAAGCTGCCATTTCCATGGGAATTGAAAGGCTTTCTCTTTTTAAGTGGTTTTGAATCAAACCCTGGTCACTGTAGCCACTGCCTCTTTCAGGGCCCAGCAGCACCAACGGGGGTCCACACAGAACAGCAGTTTCCCTTTTACAGCTTTCCAGCCCTTGGCTCTACAGGGACTTTTCATAACAGATGTTAAATCCAGACTGTTGTTCTTAATAGAAACCATCACACCTGCCCACCATGAATCTACCTAATCCTTTTTAAACCTACTTACTATTTTGACCTCAGCAAAATCCTCTGGGAAAGAGTTCCACAATATAAGTATGTTCTGGACAAATGTCTATACTTCTGCTGCTTGATATTTTCTGCCAGAGATTGAGTGGCAGCTGAGTGCCTGGGTTTTACTGGCCATTACACTGTATTATCTAAGGTATGGTCAAAGAAGCCTCAATCAGACTGGTGCTGTACACTAGGCGACTTTACTACTATTTCCCTCATTCTTTTGGCTAGCTGGCAGAGGTGAAACCAAGCCAAAAACTAAGTGTATAAGAAGCAAAGCTCTTGTCCCATTTTTTTCAGTTGCTTGTAATGAGTTAAGTACCTGGCATTTTCTTTATCTTGTAGGCTAAACTTTGCAAGCTCTTGTCCTTGACAATAACTTTTCACCTTTAATTAATTTCTATCTTTGCAAAATACATTGTACTACTGGGGAGGAAATCTTACTGATAGAAATGAAAACTGTAATAATAATGCTAATTCAAGTATCAATGAAAATAAAATACCTTCAGAACAGGTAATACAGTGAAGCTAGAGATCATTAAATATTTTCAAAGTGTTGCAAAAAAGGTGCTGAAAAAGCTCTTGAAAGAAGAGGAAGAACAGAAAAGAGGGGGAAATAATCTCAGCTGTATTGTAACAAACTCATGGATGCAACCTGTACAAGGAGGTAACACAACTCTTTGAAGTCAGAAAAGTGAGCTTAGGGAGACCAGAAATTGCCACCTAGATGGAAGGAGCAGGCAGAAGAGGAAGAGCAGATGAGAGGAAGACTGGCAACGGGTGGAAGGAAAAAGAGAAGTTGAAGAGAGAACTGAAAATACATGCAGAGTATTGGGATCTGCCAAGAGGAATGAGGTGCTGAAGTGCTCAAGCTGCCAGCTGCCCCAGTAAAAAAATTAACTCCTAAACCTTCTCCAAAGCTCCAAAATTGCAGGCCCCTCCAACTAGGCTAACAGGTGTTATTTGGGAGATTTAAAATAAATGTCCATGAAAGTATCACAGTATCACAGTATGTTAGAGATTGGAAGGGACCTCAAAAGATCATCTAGTCCAATCCCCCTGCCGGAGCAGGAACACCTAGATAAGGTTACACAGGAACGTGTCCAGGCGGGTCTTGAATATCTCCAAACAAGGAGATTCCACAACCTCCCTGGGCAGCCTGTTCCAGTGTTCCGTCACCCTCACTGAGAAGAATTTTCTTCTCAGGTTTAAGTGGAACCTCTTGTGCTCCAATTTGTACCCATTACCCCTTGTCCTTTCATTGTTTGCCACTGAGAAGAGCCTGGCTCCATCCTCGTGACACTCCCCCTTTATATATTTATATACACTAATAGGGTCACCCCTTAATCTCCTCTTCTCCAAACTATAGAGACCCAGCTCCCTCAGTCTTTCCTCATAAGGGAGATGCTCCATTCCCTTAATCATCTTAGTTGCCCTGCGCTGGACTCTCTCCAGCAGGTCCCTGTCCTTCTTAAACTGAGGGGCCCAGAACTGGACACTATTCCAGATGAGGTCTCACCAGGGCAGAGTAGAGGGGAAGGAGGACCTCTCTCGACCTACTAACCACCCCCCTTCTAATACACCCCAGGATGCCATTGGCCTTCTTGGCCACAAGGGCACAGTGTCGGCTCATGGTCACCCTGTCGTCCACCAGGACCCCCAGGTCCCTCTCCCCTACACTGCTCTCTAACAGGTCGTTCCCCAGCCTATACTGGAACCTGGAAGTAAATCAGTAAGAAATTTCAGTAGATGACACGGAAGAATAAACACCATCATTTCTGGACTCTTTAGAAACTTTAGAACTTTGAAACTTTAGAAGACTGCTATACCATCTTAC